ATGCGCGTTTTGCCTTCTCTCTGTCAGTAAAGTCCATTCTGAAATGCGTCCGAAAAAATTAACTGTAACTCAGTCAATACTTGTCACAGAGATACGAGAGATTTCTCTTTTTGAAGCTGAAATTCTCTTCTTTTAAATGAAGTAATTAAAAAATATATATATTTCCAGTTTATGTAATCCGTTTAAAACCAAGGAGAGGTACGGTTTTTTCGTTCTCCCTTTATTATCTTTAATGAGCCGAGGCCGCCACGCCCCCAGCGCTTTTCACATGGTAAATAGGTGATCTAACGTTATGCATCGCACACGCCCAGCAATCAATGGCATAAAAACACGAAGTTTCTTCATCAGATTCACTGATAGTTCATCGCGTTTTGAGGATGGCACTCTACTCCTTCAGATGATTCTGCACAGCGGGGAAGAATTCACCTTTTCCTCAGAGGAATTTGAAACTCGGACGACAAACGGCTGCATTTTGAAGAACGAATTGACCCCGCCGAGGATACAAGTTCGGAGTAAGTTGTTTAGTGTTATATAATTCCTTTTCTGATTATAGAGCTCAAATGAATTTTCAGACTATATTTTATGTAAACCGCGCTTTACATTTTCTTCCATTTTTATAATAATATAAATGAACCGTCTTGTTTAATCTTAAAGTTTTGGTGGTCAGATTCAGACTCAATGCAGAGCAGAGAGCACAGATAAGATAGCAAATAAATAACGTCAGCGGCCATGGCACTGAACGAGCAATCGTTATCATAGTTCTAAAGGACAAACAGTTAAAGTTATTATGCGAATTAACTCGAGTCAGAATGTAACATTACATGTGCAAAGTCGCATTTGTCATCCATCACCCTGACATCAAGTGGACTTTTAAAGCTGAAATAATGAGTGGATTAAGCTTGGAATAACGAGAGAAATAACATGGATAGAACTTTCTTGTCAGTGGATTGTAATGCATCACAGTCAGTCAGGTAACGTTAACGTTACAAGGAAGTGAGACGACGGCTACTAAAATTAGGTAAGACAAAAAGGTTTATTTTTCGCAACTTGTGTGAAATAAAATGTGAAAATCGGGTCCAGTCAGGTTTGTGTCTTCCCGCCGGGTTCGGGTGCAGTTTTCAAATAACAGACGGGTCAAGGTCGGGTCCGGGCAGTACATTTATGGCATTTCTCGGGTCTGCACGGGTCCGGGTCCAACTTTTGAAATATTAGACGGGTCCGGGTCGGTTCGGTGTAGCACATTACGGGTCTCTTCCGGTTCGGGCATGAATTTTTGGACCCGTGAAGACCTCTACCTCACAGTCACAATATCCCTATACGTAGGCCTATACGCTCGTGTAAACTTTTTAAATGTGATATTAGCCTACTACATATATTTCACTCAGTTTTGAGATTAGTTTATGACACTGATTATCATGCTAAAATACCTGCCTTATGCGTAATTTATTTTGTTTGCGAATAACTGCTTAGGTTATATAATGATTTAGTGAAATATATTTCAGCCTCCGGTAAAATATGTGATACTGTCTAAATACAATATATTATTTATGTATAAATGTTCAGTTAGGCTAACTGAAATAAAACGATGTCTATATTGTGATGGGTAGTCAACTTTAGCATGGGTGTGTTCACTTATTCTAAGCACTGTGTGTGTGTGTATATATATATATATATAAAATTAAATCACAATTTTAACCAGAAAAATCTACAATGCATGCCCAAAGTCGTGCAGCCATATAGTTTCTCTTGATATCAGCATGTTCAAAGGTGTTTTTTTTTTTTTTTTTTTTTTTACAGGGACGAGATGCCACTGATGAGTCCTGCTAACTTCAACATTCAACAGTCTCTGTACATGAACATGGTAAAATGAAAAATCAAACACCTTGGAAATGACAGGTATGTACGATGTTTCAGGAATGGCACCAAGTTGTGTGACTGTTCAAGCCTCTGTCTTTAGATCAGTGTGTTTACTAATGTGCCTTTTTGTCCTTTGTTGTGTATCTTTGGATTATGTTGTGTTGTAAATAAATCCAAACAATCTAAAAGCCATTCTTTTTTAAATCTCCTCATTCTTTGTGCAAGGCTCCTCATAATGATAGAGCCTGATAGCACCTAATAGGGCCATTATGGGAGGGTCTTTGTCTTTCTCAGGTGTGAAATGCATACATATTAATGAGAGATCATGCCCCTTCACATAAAGCTTTCTGACACAAAACACGTCATTAAAAATGTAAAATACTTTATTGTCTTATCTGAATGAGTAGTCAGGATGATTCTCACATAGTTTTGGAGCAAATATTCTAGGCTATGTGATACAATTTTCAAAAGTCTTGTGAAGAAATAATCAATATGTGTTTTGTGGCCTTATTTCAGAAACTTTAATTTTTAGTTTTTTCAATAACCATGTATAAACAATATTCTCTCAAAAATACAAATATGTACATACATGTTGCTCACATATTATGGTAGCCCTGTTTGTGCTAAATAGTGTAACTACACCTGTGCCATTAATATGTTTATAAGCAACTGAAAAAAGCACAAATGTCAGGGCATGTCAAAACATCTCAAGGACCCCAAAAACACCTTAGACCCCAGAGGGTTAAGCCGGTGCTGATCGGCTGCTGTTATAGACCTCCCGGGACTGATGTGCAATATTTGAATGATTTATGTCTGTTAATTGGCAGAGTTACAGATGTGAATGGTTATATTTTTTTACTTGGGGATATGAACATAGACTGGTTTGCGAATCAATGTCCAATGAAGATAGTTTCATTGATCGATGCTTGTAATCTGTCTCAACCAACCAGAGTCTTTACTAACAGTGCTGGCCATATTTCTGCCACTTGCATAGACCATATTTATACAATATTAATATTATAGAGTCTCATTAAGGAAAGAGAAGAAGCCAAATCTACATTAGTAAAGTCTGGATTAGTGGAGGACAGATTCAAGTACTGTCAACTGAAGGAATACAAATTTGTCAAATGTTTAATTTAGGTTTCCACTCCAATGGTATAAAACTGATAAAGTTCAGTAGACTGATTTCAGATGAAATATTGAGTCTCCAGCAAGAGTCTCCTTTCCTGATAGTCCTGTTTTCTCTCCTTTCAGCCTAGATAGAATCGTTAGGTTGATTGGATTAGCTGTCGGGGAGACTTTCACCTTTTGTCTTTAATGGCTCTGGGATGGCTCTTAGGAACCAGAGTTCCTGGCCACTATCAGCATTTGAATAGTTATGCTGATTCAATTGGATTGGTAATGCCCTCAGAGTAGGGTGTGTTCCTACTTAATTTGCATGCGTTGTTTCAGAGGGACTCCACCCCAATGTAAACTCCTCCTCCTCTAAATGTATAAATTGCAAGGGAACCTTTCCCTTAGTTGGACGAGATTGAGATGCTACAGCGACCTAATAAAGAACATCTGCTTTAAAAGATACCTCTCCGTCTCCTGGTCTGCTCTTCTGACTTTTCTACACATTAAGAAGAAAAAGTTCACAACAGATGATGCCCTGTGACCCAGATAGAATTAACTTCACCAGAATCCAGAACTGGACCTCAACAAAGATCTCACCAAAGCTGACTGAGTTCTGACTGAGTGCCAGAAGCTTCGACCTCAACAAAGATCTCAACAAAGGATGAACATTTCTGATTGAGTTCCAGATTGAATCTTGAAACATCAAGCTCAACAAAGATCTCAACAAAGAATGAACATTTCTGACTGAGTTCCAGACGGAATCTTTCGTACAACAAACGATTTGGTGAGTTTCACTCTATTCAAAGAACCGCTGAAGACCAGTACAAATTTTGCTATGCCTCTGCGCCGTCAGAGAAGAGTTAACAGACAGCTGTAGAGTTTGGTTAGCTAAGTTTATCCTCTAAAGTTTTCTGTTAGAGATGAAAAGTAATCCTCTGCCCAGACAGGGAAGATTTTAGCACTCAAGTTAAAATATTGTTATCCTCTGTGCAAGCAGAGAAGGGGTAGTCTTACAGGCTATTTATTTTGGTACCTTTTAAAAAGTTTTCTTTTAGAGATGAAAGTGAAACTGTGTTCAGGTAGGGAAGATTAACATTACGTGTTAATATTTTTGTGTAGCCTCTGCTTTGTCAGGGAAGATAAGCATTATGTGCTAATATGTTGGTTGCCCCCTGTTTCAGGGAGGGAAGTTTTAGCATCAGGTGCTAATTATTTGTTTTTACCCTCTGGTCACAGAGAAGGTTAGCATTACGTGCTAATAATATTTTGGTTTTATCCTCTGAATAGTCAGGGAAGTTGTTTGTATCCTCTGATTCAATCAGGGAAGATTAGCGTAAAGTGCTAGTAATTTGTGTTACCCTTTGCTCTGCCAAGGAAGGTTAACAATAGTTTGATCTGTGTTAACAAGTGTAGCCTCTGTTTTGATCAGAGAAGTTTTAGTGTTTGTTTGTTTAGCATCATGTGCTAATAAGATTGTACCCTCTGTTGTAGACAGTAGAGAGAAGTTTTTTTTTTTTTTAGTTGGTAACAAAGAAATCCACAAAATGGTTAGGAAGAATGCTAGACTGATTCCAAATACTGAGAAACGTGGATTAGCAAGCCCTTTATGGACAGACAGTGAGTTCAAGTCATTGTTAGGAGAGAAAATGGACTCCATAGTGACTGAGTCAGTTAGATTGGATTTGACAAATAAATTTGGTATCGATCCAGACAAAGTTTGGTCTATTGAAGAATGCAAGAAGGTGTTAGGTGCATGTATCAGAAAGAAAAACATGAAAGGCATAATCTGTTAGGGATGGGACAATACACTTAAACTCACGATACGATGCACCTCGATATGCCAGGGTCACGATACGATACGTCACGATACGATATCAAAAAAGGGAAAAAAAGAAAAAAAATATTACTGTATAACAACAACTTATTTATTTTTGTTTCAGCTGCACACAGGGAAACACAAGGCCTAACTGGCCAAACACAAACAAGAACACTCCCTTAGTGCTGCTCTAATCCTAGGTTAAGTTATCTCAGGACTGGTTCTTCTTCAAAAAAACTAACATGTCAACATGTTCTGGTGTTATCAGTGATCTTTGAGCAGACACAATGTCTCCTGCTGTGGAAAAGACACGCTCACTGGGCACTGATGTAGCAGGAATGCAAAGGTAGGCTTTGGCAAGGGGGGCAAGTATGGGGTAAGCATATGCATTAACTTTCCACCACTCAAGTGGACTACTGTTGAGTGGGATAGGAATCCCATTTCTGTAGGAGAGTATCTCCATTTCAATCCCTCTGCTGGACTGCACTGTCTCAACAACAGTAGTGTAGGAGCTCCCAAGGAGATCTTCTAACGCTGTCTTTTTTGGTGGGGGAGGCTGTGTCACGTCCTGCATCTGCCTTTCTCCTTCCACTGGCTCTTCCTGGCTCTGCTCTGCTCCCTGTGCTGCCTCAACCATGACCCTGGCCTGCTCTGCTGCTGCCCCTGATGTTGAAGCACTGGCCCTAGTGGTTCTTTCATCTATATCACTGGTCTGAAAAAAGTAAAATAAAACTAGCTCAAACATTTCTGTCTTTCAATCCTTCACTCCCTCCCTCTCTCACAGACACACGCACACAGAGTCTCTCTCTCTCTCTCTCTCTCTCTCTCTCTCATCGACTAATAAAAAAAAACAATATGAGAAATAAGTTTTCGGGCTCTGGCCTACACTACAGAGTTACACACGCGCAGGGCACCTCTTTTTTTCTTCAATAAAAGTTAGCCTACCTGGTTGCGCTGCTCATGAAGTGCTGAAGCTTTTTCACGTATTCGGGCATAGACGGACTCGCGTTGTTCATCATTCAGATGGGACAGGCTTCGGAATCGTGGGTCAAGCGCAGTGCACTCCTGCAGCATGTCATTACAGTCACCAGAGTACCGGTCCGAGATGTCGAGTAGAATAGCGCTTTTCATGTTGGCGATGGTCTGTGTGTCATTTTCCTCTGGTGACATGCTTTGCTCGATCATGAACTTCAGTGGCATTATCAGTGAAACAGTGGGCTCTTTTTCATCACAGACAACTGTTGTGGCTGTCTTCAGTGGCTTAAGCAGTTTCACTATGTCCTCGACATCTGATATATCAGTGTTATCCAGAGTGTCAATTTCTCTCGCATTCCTTCGGATTCCTGGGCAGCTCAGCGCCGCTGAGACAGCTGCTTGTTGCTCCAGGTAGCGCGCCAGCATCTCGTATGTGCTATTCCACCTGGTCTGGACATCGGTGATGAGTTTATGCCGAGGCAGCTCTAACTGGGTTTGCTTGTTGGTCAGGACGGCGGTGGCCGTGGTGCTCCTGTGAAAGAATGTAGTTATTCTTCGCACACGACCAAGAAGGCGCGCGACGCGGGATACAGCCAAGCCTCGCTTACTGGCCAGATTCACAACATGCGCTAAGCACTTGATGTGAGGGTGGAGACCGCTCTCTCTCACAGCAATGTCCATGTTGCTTGCGTTGTCTGTGACACAAGCAATGGTTGTTTGTGGCCTCGTTAGCTCCCACTCACTCAGTGCATTTCTCAACACGTGAGCTATGTTAACACCAGTATGACTTTCACTCAGCTCACGAGTTTGCAACACAAAGCTTTTTCTCACCCATTTGTCGTTGATGACTTCTGCCGTGATGGTTACATAACTCTGTGTTGCACGCGAGGTCCAGCTGTCAGTGGTCAGGGCGACACAGTCGGCATTTTTTAGATACTCTTTCACGCTTTGTTTGGTTTCATTGTAAATTTCCGGGATTACCTTCTCTGAAAAATGTCCTCGACATGGCATCTTAAACTTAGGCTCTAGCACATTGAACATTTGGATGAATTTTCTGTTCTCTACCATGTTAAATGGAGCCATATAGTCCGCTATGAATTCGCCAATGAGCCTGGTTATCTGTTTTGCACGCGGACTTGACGGAGGTAGAGTTGGTGTCAGCGCTTGTTTCATGGTCAGCTTTCCCTTCGGTAGGCACGTTTTCTCCGGGGCCGTCTTCACATTTTTATGGTGACGTTGAAGGTGGTGGTTCATGTTTGATGTGTTGGATGTGGTGTACGGAATGACAGCATGGCATAGCTTACACACAGTCTTAGTCTTGTCAGTTACTCTATTGCCGTCTTTGTCTTTTTTAATGAGAAAGCCAAAATACTGCCAGACATATGACTTGTATCCAGGCGGAGCGTCCTCAATTTCGACCTCATTTGACTCCATGGTTGGCTGTTTGGGGGCAAGGCAGTTGGTGCTAATGCTATTTGTTAGCTCGCTGTAGACTGCAGTGTTGTTGTTGCAACATGCGCTGTCTTGACGTGATGACGTACCGCACCGTTCCCCGGATATAATTTTTTTTTTCATTTAGTTTTACCCTGCTTGCCTGCCACCATAGACTGTATGTCTGCCCCATATACATACACACACACATTTAATACACTAAATTATTTATATACTACGCAAATCATGCAGCAGTGCCATCTATCTTTATTTCGCGATCCATTTTTTTCGACCTCGATGCGTTTCGTCACGTTTTGTATCGCGATATTTCGTCAAACGATATTTCGTCCCATCCCTATAATCTGTTGCCATAGAGAATATAGCTTATCCATTGCACAAGAACAAGCTAGGTGTATTGCTAAGTTAAATGAACAAAACAAACAATTGAACACTCAAGTGTCCTGTTTCAAGACAAAGGTGGGCCATAACCAGGCCTCAACCAAATGTGACCCTGAAGACCAACAGTCAGATGAAAGCTATCCTGATTTACAGTCTTTCTGTAGACTAGAAAACACTAGAAATGCTGGTTTGATAGATAAAGATGTAAATGCAGTTGAAGTGTGTGGAGCAAGACAAAAGGCTCAGACTAGGGCAAAAGGGAATGATCCAGTTCCATTAGCAACCCCCATAATGCAGCTACAAGCAGTCAAATTATCTTTAGCTCCTAAAGAAATAGAGAGAATTGCTGAAAGTTTGCCATCAGTACATGGAAATTTTTCTGAGTTTAGGAGAGAATTGTCCAAAAAGATGCGGCCCTACGATATGTCTCTAGCTGAAGTCACCCAGCTAATATCACAGATCTTGACTGAGTCAGAATTCAATGATTTTGAAAATGCTGTAAACAATTCTGAACTACAGCATGCCAGAAAAGATGAATTGAGAGAAGGAGTTTTGAGAGTGTTAAAGAACATTCTTGGACCAAAAGTGGACTGGTCAAAAATCACTAGTTGTGTACAGAAGAAGCATGAAACTGTTAGTCAGTACACAGACAATTTTTGTCAGTCAGCTGTAACTTACAGTGGAATAGCAGACACTTCAGAGAAGGTGTTAAATGACAATGGGCCATTAGTTCGCACATGGTATGATGGTCTTTTGTCAGAGCATAGAAATGCATTGCCTTTCTTAGACGTCACATGGGCTACCAGTACCCTGCAAAGTAACCTAGACAGGTTAGCTACTTGGGAAAGAGATTCTGATGTTAAAGAGAGAGTAAGAATTGCAGCAGTTTCCTTTAAGGTCAACGCAGAGAAGCAACAGAAACGCAAATGTCCTAAGAGAGAGGGCAGTTGTTATTACTGTGGTAAGCCTGGACACTGGATAAAAGAGTGTAGGAAAAGCAAAAAGAACTTTATTGAGGTTAATAATGTTGCTAAGCTACTACTCAATCTGCTTGCTAATTTGAAGCAGCCCCTCCCTTCGTCATTAAACGGGTGGGGCAACATGTTGAGGTGCTAACCATTTGTGTTGTGAGTGCTTGATTCTCCCCAGTAACTTACAACAGAGATAAAAGACTTATTTTTGTTTAATAGAACAAAAAGGAAAGTGACTGTCTCAGCTTTCCTTTGTGGGGACAATGGTTAAGTAAGCTCACAGCCTGAAATGTTGTCTACAGCACAGGCCCTTCATTAGTAATGAGCTGGGTCAGGCTGTAAACTTAAAATGCCCTCAATGTAGTGACCGCACTAATGAATCAAGCAAAAGTCACTTTTGTCACCATTCTCATGTATGATGTCTATTAAAGTAGCGGCAGTATTGTGTCAGGATAAACCTGGACTCATTGTGTCACACTGTAAAAGTTGTTCCCCCTCCCACAGGGAAATGACAGGACACGGAACAGTGAGGAGCCCAGGGAAGAACCGATTGCAACAGGCATCGGGGGCCAACCCCTGCGGTGAAGACTACCTCATAGGCCTTCCCCCTCCATAGTCCACCCCTACCTCACTGCTTCTATTTAGGTGTCAAACGAATTAAGAAATAGGGAAAGAAGGAACAACGATAGCAGACTCGGAAAAGTTTACAACCCTAGGGTTTGAACAAATACTGCTCTCCTGTTTTTTTTGTTTTCTCTCTTCCTCTGTGCAGGTAACACTTGATGGCTGACCCGAGACCCATACGCACCGACCTCCTCATCTGCGTATGAAGCCACAAACTCAAGAAATCAACTAGACCTACTGCCGAGCCAACTATCACAAAAGGATAAAGAAAAGGAAAAAAAAATACACAACGCAGAGACTACGAAACCTTCAGTCATCCATCGACATGCTCAAGATTGACACATCATGAAGATCGCACAAAGTCCGGACTCCAGAAACAACATATTCTTAGAGCTGATGAATATGTCAAAAACGCCTTGTTTGCTGGAAAGAACGTTTTCATGTCACCTCCGAAGATGGCTGCATTCCAGGACTCACTTGTGCACAAACATGGTGGTCCAATAAGACATTCTGGATCTGTCAGCAAAATTACAACAAGATGACTGAAGATAACTCTTCATGGTTCGGAAACTTGTTAGGTAAACAGTGGATGTGGATGAAGGAAATAGCAATTCTGCTGTTGTTTCTCTTATTAGCGTATTATCTATGCGTCCACAGTATCAAGTTTTTCATTCAACAAATGAATCACGCCTCTCAAGATGAAATCAAAGTTCCAACCAGAAAAGACTATTACCCGTAAAAACACTACACGGACCTTAATTGCATGTTTTTTTTCTGTGTCAGCATGCAATTACAGAAAAGCAAACACAGATCATTAAGTTATGTACCTGTAACTATCACAAGTTGCAAGAATGAATTTTAATTGTTTAAATTAGTATATATTGTGGTAGTTATTTAGAACTCCCAAAGGGGGAATTGAAGGAATACAAATTTGTCAAATGTTTTATTTAGGTTTCCACTCCAATGGTATAAAACTGATAAAGTTCAGTAGACTGATTTCAGATGAAATATTGAGTCTCCAGCAAGAGTCTCCTTTCCTGATAGTCCTGTTTTCTCTCCTTTCAGCCTAGATAGAATCGTTAGGTTGATTGGTTTAGCTGTCGGGGAGACTTTCACCTTTTGTCTTTAATGGCTCTGGGATGGCTTTTAGGAACCAGAGTTCCTGGCCACTATCAGCATTTGAATAGTTATGCTGATTCAATTGGATTGGTAATGCCCTCAGAGTAGGGTGTGTTCCTACTTCATTTGCATGCGTTGTTTCAGAGGGACTCCTCCCCAATGTAAACTCCTCCCCCTCTAAATGTATAAATTGCAAGGGAACCTTTCCCTTAGTTGGACGAGATTGAGATGCTACAGCGGCCTAATAAAGAACATCTGCTTTAAAAGATACCTCTCCGTCTCCTGGTCTGCTCTTCTGACTTTTCTACACATTAAGAAGAAAAAGTTCACAACACAACTGAGAAATCAGGTTAAAAAAAGGAAGGGATCGATGAAAAAAAGAATATTACATGCAAATAATAAATGCTGTAAAGCATGATGGTAAAGAGCTCTGGAAAACCCTTAATGAAATAATGGGGAGACGGACAACTGAAGGGGCTTCCTTTGTGCAATCAGAAGGCAAGTTTCTGACCAAACTATCTGATATAGCTAATTATTTTAATGATTTCTTCATAAATAGGGTCCATGCACTAAGGTAGAATATGGTCAATACTGATTCTAATTAAAGCTCATAAAAAATAATTTGATGTTAGATAAGAATTGCACTTTCCAGTTTAATAGTGTGGAGGTGCGGGAAGTAACGAAGTTGTTGAAGTCCCTGCCCGAACACAGCTCAGTGGGTACTGACATTTTGGACAGTAAGGTACTTGGCCTGGCAGCTGACTATGTTTGCGGTCCGTTATGTCAAATATTAAATGCATGCTTAAAGAAAGGTGTTTTTCCCACTATCTGGAAAGAAGGTACAATTATTCCCTTACCTAAAGATGGCAGACTAGCACTCACTGGGAAGAACAGTAGACCTATCACTATTCTCCCAGTTCTTAGTAAACTGATGGAGAGAATAGTTCACTCACAAATACAGGAATACTTTGAATTTAAAGGCTTGAACACAGATTTCCTACATGCTTATAGACATAACCATTCAACTTTTTCCGCCCTTACAGTAATGAAAGATGACTGGCTCAAGGAAATGGAAAATTTAAAGATGATTGGTGCAGTATTACTTGATTTTAGTGCGGCATTTGATGTCATAGATCACAATCTACTCATCGGTCAACTGGAATGCTATGGATTTAGTCTAAACGCCATCCAATTTATGAAGAGTTAATCGCACAAGTAGGACGCAACGGCAGCTGGTCTCACTCTATGGTCTTGGACTGCGGGGTCCCACAAGGGAGCTGCCTGGGACCACTTTTATACTCCATCCTCACAAACGATTTACAACCAGTTTTGTGTAAAGCAACTAGGGATGGGAATTGATAAGAATTTAACGATTCCGATTCCATTATCGATATTGCTTATCGATCCGATTCCTTATCGATTCTCATTGGTTGAGGGAATAAGTACAAATTTGTTTGTTTGTATTAACTCGCTTTAATATCTGATCAGAAGATACAGAACAGAGTATACACACATTATGTGTAGCAACCTCAGAACAAACCTAAAAGTAGGTGAGCTACTTCTCAAAGTAAAGGGCAGTGTTTCTCAAACAGTATGCCATGGCACGCTAGTGTGTGCCTTGAAAGATTATCAAGAAGAGTGCCTTAGGATTAGGAAATTGTTCATTTTCACATTCATTGGTCCAGACAAAAAAATAAATAAAACTGTCATTTATGTGCCATAAAAACTAAAAACACAGACTGAAAACAGTCAAGGAAGAGCTTGTGCCATTTGGAATGTTAACAGTGCTCATTTGGATTCAACCTGAAACAAAATTCAACTGACATAAAAAATACAAAGAAGTCTTCTGTAAAGACCACAACTGTCAACTTATGAATGAAATGGCGCTCA